TGTTGGGCAAGGGAAAGCATTCTATAATCCTGTGATTAGATTCCGTCTTTTAGTGAGCCTAGTCCCTGGCCTGTGACCATCATATGTGCTTCTCAGCTTCCTGTAAGACAGGAAAAATAGAGAGGACTGGAGCTGGCTATTTCTTTCCCCACTTCAAAGGCTAGAGGAGGCTGGGGTTGTATATTTCCTGTACCCCACGTCTTTTATGGGCAGGCTCTTTGGGTATATTTCAAAATGGTTTACTTTCCCCATCCTTTTCCAGAAGCAGGATTTTTCTCTGATGTTCAGTCTGAGAAGAACCTGGTGGGGCTCATGGAGGTAAACCTTACAGAAGTGTGGGCTGCCTTCCAAGACTGGGCCCTCAGGGATTTTTTATTTCTCAAGCTAGTTCACACTTAGTTTCCAGAAATTACTCAATTATCCTTTAAGTGTTCCTACCAGTTGGCTCCTGAGGCTGTTTCTGCTCCCAGTAAACTGTGATTCTCTGTATCTACCTGTCTCTCCAGTTTCTGGGACAGTGGCTTTTACAGTGACCTCAATTACCTGATGGAAATAAAAGAAGTTATTGAGTTTCAGTTTGTTCAGCTTTTTTCTTGTTGTTAGGATGGCAGTAATAACTTTCAGGTCCTTTATGTGTCAGATAAGAAAGTAAATCAACCCCTTCATTGGAATGGTAACTTTGGATTGTCTTTTGGATTGTCTCCAGACTCCTATAGAAATATGAGTCACATTAACTCCTAATAGTTATTAACATATCAAGATAGTTGTGTATGTAATTTGAAAGCTGGATGCTGAGGGTAATGACAATGATAGAATAATAGTTAATATTTATTGAGTGGTTTTAGCATGTGATGCTCTATATTACAGAGGATTTATATGTATTGCCTCATTTAATCCTAATAATTACCCCTATTTGGTATATAATATGATTATCACCAACTTTTTAAAAATAGGTGAAGCAACTGAGGCTTAGATTGGTTAAGTAGTATGCTCAAGAACATATAATTTGGGATTTCATCCCAAGTATTTGAATGTGGGATTTATACTGAACTGCTGTGGGGGTACCAAAATTCAACATTAGGACTGTGAAGATAGAAAGTTAGAGGAAAAGAACTAGGGAGGGGAAGGACTCTCTGCAGTGGGTTATCCTAGGCATTTGGAGTGGAAGTACAAGATTGATACCCAATTCACAATTGTGCTCCTATCTCTTCCATCTTTAAAGTGAAGAAAGTTCAGGTTTCCTACAAATTGTTAGGCAGAGCCTAGATGCTCTGTGGAATAGTTCAGTCTCCAGGGCAAAGGAGAGAAGTTTGGTGTGAGGGAATGGGTGTTAAGTATTTGAAGAGGACCAGAGGGTATGTGATTGCCTTATGGTTGCACAGCTGCTTTGTGTCTGAAATTCAGAATCAGAATAAATATTTAAATGAATCTTCCTCATGTTCTTGCTGTGAGAAATGAGTCATGTGCTCTGAATAACACTGAAGTAACCATGACTAACAAATCAAACTGATTGAAATACACCTGTGGTTGTGATGATGCTATCTCAGAAGTAGACTGTGAATGTAGTGGTGAATATTTCAGGGTGGGAACTCCAAGATCCAAATATGGCTGGCAGCTTCAAGGGGCTGGGTCAACAGATGTTTCTGTTGAACATCCTAGGCTCCCAACCTAGCAACTGCTGGCAAATAACATCTTCCACTCAGGAAGGCTGGGAAGAAGGGAAGGAAGCTGGAATTTAAAGGCTGATGTGATTTTGACTGAGCAAGGATGTCCTACAGCAAACTGTTCTGTGAGAGGACAGCTGGACCATGAACTGAAGCTGTTTGTTAAACTTAGGTAAAACTGGTCCTCAGCGAAAACTTCCAGTTGATTAAGTTCAATGTAATGGTCTCAGAGGCATTAACTAATAGAGGCATTACACACTGAGGACAATATTAGGGGCCTGTTCCCATTCGAGGTTCTGGTAGTTTGTCCTTACCTCAGATAAACAACCATCTTGAGACTTGACCTATGTGCTGCAAACTTTATTGCCCACCAGTCTGTCAGAATTAAACTAAACAGGTCTGGAGGGAGTGAAGTATGGTAATGTTGTCTGTCCAATAGGAAAGAGATGATGGGAAGACTGGGGGCAGGAGAGAAGCAGTGACAGTAGTAAGCCTCGCAGCCAGCAGCTTAAGGCAGAGATGCTGCAAATAATGGAGTGAAAAACCTGGAAGACTTCTGAGATTTGATATAGGCACCCAGACGTGGGCAGGATAGCCAATGAGGTAACTTGGTGAAGGATGGGTTGGTGGGGGCAGGATATCATCTACAAGGCTCTTCTGAACAAAATATAATTTCTCTACCCACCTGCTAGGATTAGTGTTGGAGTGGCCTCTTAGGAGCTATACATTTTCAGTGGGTTAAAGTATTACGTTGCTGGGGGATGGTTAACCAATTAGTGAAGATTTGTTCTTATCTGATTAGTCCATTAGCACCAAGTTTCACCAAGTAGAGCCAGACGTTTGGAGGAGATATAATCCAGGATTGTGAAAGTTTAGGGATGAAAAGCATTCTCTGTGTTGGATGACCACTAAATATAGTGCTGCCCAACAAGAGTGTAATGAATAAACTCTGCAAGCCTCTGGATTCTGGTTGTTCATATGGTAGTGTATAGTATCCCCACATGCAGAGTAAAAAACTGAGACCTAAAGAAGTTAGGCAAATTTTCCCAAGATCACAGAACTTGGGTGAACCCCAGATTTTGACCTAGAGCTGTCTTGCTCTGAAGCCAGTTTGCCTTTTCATCTATACTACATTGTTCCAGAAGGATGGAGGTGACCTGAAGATAACATTTTCCTATAACACAGTTAAAAACAAAAACTCTGTTGGGTACAAGGAATCCTTTATAAGGCTAAATGACAACTTGAAAAGCACTTGGGACTATCTGTATCTATCCCAAAGAACATGTGAAGATTCCAGGCTGTTCCTCATCAGGAGTTATTTTATAATTCCTGTACACTCTTTAGATTTTACTTCCTGGGGAAAAAAAACAAAGCAGTGTGCAGAGAAGATGAAAATGGTCAGAGCTAATTGCATATGGACTTTCCCCCAAAAAATGACATTAGAAAACAATGCCATTTGTCTTTGAATGAAGTGAGTGTGTGGGCTCATTTGCCTGCCCCCACCACTGCTATGTGAAAGTGAAGCAGGTCAGTTCTCATTTTCCTTTCCTCTCAAAATGCCCAGAGGGACCATATTTTTGTTTAATGACCTTCAGAATGATTCTTTAGAAATCTGAGGCTATCAGAGTTGGAAGCAATGCGAAAATAATTGTGGATTATTATTGTATGACGATAGTGGCAGCTGGGCTATTTTTTTTTCTTTCTGTTCAGTCTTTCTTTTTCATTTTCCCAGAAACCTTATATCCCAAGGTTTAACTCAGAAGCAAATCTCATATAGGTGATAAACCTTGCCAGACATGGCATGTAATAGAATTTCAGACAGACCCTTAAGTGTTCTTTGGAAAGACCCTAGGGAGTGAAGCAGCTTTATATCTAGATGCCCTAGACAGTATTACTTTTATTTACTCTCTGACAATGTGTGTGGGTAGTTGTATTGGACATAAAGCAAGTGTATCTCTTAAATATTATACCTGTGAACTTAAGTGTCAGTTTTTGTGTTTTGTTTTCACTTCTGTTATCATAACAGAAGAAATTTTGTTACAGTAAAATCTAATAAATGGGTACTCACACTTCCAAATCATTTTACGACATGTGCGCACACACACATGCACACACTCAAGCATGCAGAGCTGGGGATTGAGAGTCAGCACTGATTTTACTTTTACATGAATATTTAGGATGTGTCTGCAGAGGATGGGAGTAAGGGTGGGGAGAAGGAGAGGTAGAATAGATGTTGTATATACCATGGGGAATATGGAAACTGTCCTCAACTATTATTCATGTCATCTGCCTCATGATCAATTTTTTAATTCCTTAACTGACAGATCCAGAATTTAAATGATAAAATACTTCAGTACCCCCTCACACCTATCCCCCACAGCTTCACTGATATTTGCACAGCTTTTGGCCACCACTTTCGTTGAACATTTGAGATAAGTGGTAGACAAACTGGAGCAATATGTAAAAAGTAGTCTGAGAAAATTCCCAAAAGACAAAGCCACTTGGCTGAATATTCTTACATACTCTGCTATTGTTGTATCTCTGTCAGTCAACGGAAATGAATCATTCCTTTCTAGTAAAGTCCAATTCCAGTAGCAACACATTCTTACCAGATGAGTAAAAGAATTGACCTCAAAACCCAAATCTTATTATCTGGTCACAGATCACTGAACTCAGAAAATAAGTGGATCATTTCCCCATTACCTTATTACAACAAAGTGTGTCCTCATTTTACCTAGCTATGTTTCTAGAGAATTCCTCAAGCCTCATTTTCTTGATCCCCTTCCCCTCTCAACCTCCTCACAATAGATCTCTTGACTATGGGGAGAGAGACTCTTGAATATTATTATTAGTTTTTACTATAAAAAATAATTAAACCATTGCCAGTGTAAAAGCCAATTAGAATTTTTAAATAATGCCTAAGGCTCCCTTGTTTATATTATGTTGCTAAGTGAACACTATCCTCTTAGAACTCTTAGGACATATTCCTGTCATATAGAAAGAACCAGGGCATTAAAATGCTACTCAGTGACTGCTCTACCTCTTTTGCGTTTGGGGATCTTGTATGCTTTTCTGTTTTTGCAGAATGTCTCTAAGGACATTCTGCTCTTGGGATCAGGCCTTTAAAGTGGTTCTTAGGGTGGTAGTTGTGATGTTTCAATTGGATACAATAAGATGTATTTGTGATGTTTTCTGGTCATTGACGTAACTCTTTAGCTACATATTTTGAAAACTAAAGAGAAGAGTACAAAAAAGTGAAAGTACTAACTTGCCAGTACTAAGACTTAGTGATGTGAATTTTTATTTTTTGCTTACTTGAAAATACTTTCTCTGCAGGAATGCAAGCCAAAAATGTGGAGAAGCATCATAATACAGAAAGGAAATGCCCTTCTAATCCAGGAAGTTCAAGAAGAAGATGGGGGAAATTACACTTGTGAGCTTAAGTATGAAGGAAAACTTGTAAGAAGAACAACTGAATTGAAAGTTACAGGTAAGCATTGGTTTAACCAAATCATGGCAAATGAGATTTTAAGTATAATTTGGTACAGGAAGAAAAAGTTTTCAAACAAAGGGTAAACCAGCTGTGAATTTATAATTAGCTACAAATAAAATAGTTGTGAAACTCACTATTAATAAGTTATACTGGTAAGCTATATGTGGAATATGGACAATTAATTTAGGGAACATGGTACCAGTTACTGCATATCTGTTCTCTGCTTTTATGAAAGGTTCTTAACTCTTCAGGGTATCATTGATTGTTACTAAGCGTCTCAGAAGAAATATGCTGGAACCACTTTAGAATGTTGACTTACCCCATATGTGGAGTCTTCTTGCAGGTGAAGGCTGCCTCAGAATGAGGTTCTGTTGGGCTTTTGTAATGAAATCTTCTTGGACTGCATCCAAAATATCATTTATATAGAATTTCTCATAAATGAGTGATGTTATTGTGAGGTTCTAGTGATTCTTAAATGGAGCAACTCCAAATGAATAGCATGCACATGTGTGTTTTACATCAGAAGTACAAGCAAATTGTAAATTAGTAATTCTACTCACAATGGAAGAGAGAGACTCAGAATATTCTTACCTGGTGGAGAATGTTAGTAAGTAATTTTCAGCAAAATAGGACAGACCCTAATGACATAAAGATTATCCCTGACAATGGGTGTGATGGACCTTAAGAAACAGTGTGACAAAAGGTCCACCTACTATTGTGCCTGAGCAAATATTGACTAATTCTATTCTTCTTATATATGTTTTAGATGTATGTGTGTGTGTATAAGTACACACACACATTTTTGTATTGTGGGTGAAATCTGAGCCATGGTAAAATTCGACATTATCCAGACAAGTGTAATATTTATTGCACTTATTAGCTTGAGCATTACCTGTTTAACCATCTAATGTTGACATCAACTAGTTGTTTAGTTACAACATACTCTCATTAATGTTAGGAATATAGATTTTCTTCTATATTGTTTTTGTTTATGGCTAGCTGACCTTTATGGGATAGTGTTAAAATCAGTCTACTAATAATGATACTTGCTTAATAAGTTCATTTGTATAACATATATTTGATTTAGTTTTTGATCCCTGAGAGCCAACTAGTTTCTTTTTTCATCTTTTTCTAAATTCTAAATGTTAACAAAAGGAGTAAAAATAAAAATCAATATATATATACTTTAAAATTAATTAAAAATTAATATATATACTTTAGTTCATTCTCTATTCTGATACATGACAGTTCTACTTCTTAGTCTGAATTGTAAAGTACCTTCTGTGAAGGTTTGAATTATTATTTTGATTAGAATTGCACGTTGCTTCTCCATGAGCTTTCAAAATAACTACCATATTTGGCCAATCCAAATAGCAAAGATCTGCTTTTGTTTAATTTCTGATTCCCTTAGTATGAACTAGACTTCCTGCCTCATTCAAGCAGAAGAGTCAATCATAGGCAGTTATACATCATTCATAAGTGGCCTGACCATGCACAAATCCTTGCAGAATCATCACTTTGACCACAGTCACACAATCCTTATCTGATGCTTTCAGAACACTTCCATTTGGAGGTCATTTAGTAAAGTTTGTAACATTATAGTGTTTAGCTTATATTTTAAATTGGACCAGAATAAAGTAAATATCAAACCTCTTTTATGCTTCCATCTGTTGGGTTATGGTGACAACACATTTGTTTCTTTAGTTTGTTTTTAGATTCTGGAGCTTATTTTGGGTGTCTTATAAGGCATTAATTCACTTGCCCTAAACTTTAAGAAAAGTTGAACTGGGGATTTAAAATTTCACCTGAACTCTACCTCTCAGAGTTTCTCAGACTTTAATGTGCATCAGAATCACATGGAAGAACCCAGGTATGGTAAAGATAAGGCTCCTTAAATATAGATTCCCATCTCTCTCCTCCAGATTCTAATTTAGTACATCAGTAAGACAGGGAATTTATCTTTTTGTCCTGGGAAATCTCTTGCATGCCTTTCAAGGATCATGCTTTGAGAAATACTAGCTGAGAAAATGGTGCCAAAGAAGTCAGTCACAGGTATGATTCCCTTGTGAGCATGTTAGTTCACACATACACACACAGACACACACACACCAAAACTAATTTTCATAGGTCCCAAATTGTTTCACCTAAGCTCCTAACAGCTGTCATGAAAATACAGAGTTTTGATCACTAAGGGAAATCTGTCAAGGGAGGGTGAGGGTAAAACCTCAGCCACTGAAACAGTAATTTATTCATTTGCTATTTAAATAAAAATATACTGAGTATATAGTACATACTAGAAAAAATAATTGAAACTTATCCTTGAGTCATTGTTCATATAAGTATATATCAAGTTTATTTATTCACAGAGTTCAAATGTTATACTTGATGTAGAGACAAAATGTCTTCTCAATATGGAAGTTCAAGAGGTTGCTCTGTGAAGATTTATTTTATTTGCAATATTGTCTAAGCTATATTATTCCTTGTTTCCTTGTTTAAAGAGCAATTACTCAGCCATAAAAAGGAAAAAAACTGAGTTATTTGTAGTGAGGTGGATGGACCTAGAGACTGTTATACAGAGTGAAGTAAGTCAGAAAGAGAAAAACAAATACTGTATGCTAACACATGTATAAGGAATCTAACAAAAAAAAATGGTCATGAGGAACCTAGGGGCAAGATGGGAATAAAGATGCAGACTTACTAGAGAATGGACTTGAGGATACGGGGAGGGGGAAGGGTAAGCTGGAACAATGTGAGAGAGTGGCATGGACATATATACACTACCCAACATAAAATAGATAGCTAGTGGGAAGCAGCCGCATAGCACAGCGAGATCAGCTCGGTGCTTTGTGACCACGTAGAGGGGCGGGATAGGGAGGGTGGGAGGGAGGGAGATGCAAGAGGGAAGAGATATGGGGACGTATGTATATGTATAACTGATTCACTTTGTTATAAAGCAGAAACTAACACACCATTGTACAGTTATACTCTAATAAAGATGTTAAAAAAAGAGCAATTAACAGATTGTCCTCTTATATTTCAAAATATAAGGCTGGGATTATTTAAAGAGTAACCCACTTATACTTGTTTTGAGTTTAGCGATATGCAGGCATGGGCTAGGAATATTAATACAAAAATCATAGAGTTGGTTAATTACAAAATCATGTAGGTAGAGGTTTTTAAGATTGTGTATTGCAAGTATGCAAGTTTAAAAAGATTATCAAAATTTTAAAAGATTATTTTCTCACTGTTCTTTTAAATTTATAAATCAGAAATATTTCTTCAGTGAAACAAGCGCTCTCTTAAAGTGTATAGGTACTACTTGCTTTAAATATACCGGTTGTAAAAAGATCTAGTTATTCAAAACTGATTAAATAGAAGGTAATCTTTGGCTTTATGAAATTATTTTTTCAATATAAAAGAATTTGTCATGAGATTTCTTTAAATAGCCAGCTGCATTTAAGTAGGATTTGATTTATATGCAACTTTTCTGGAATCATTTTAATATTTAAATCATAGAAGACCTGTGTACTGTTATTGTAGACATTTCTTTTTTATACTTTTGGAGGCTGCAGATAAATAGGGAGTGGTTTAACAACATATAGACATGTACAACAGGGTATGTAGGTCATTTGCCAAAGATACCAACAACTAACAGTTGTATTTCCCACAGCATTTTTCAGGTGGATATTTGCTATTTTAAAGATATTTTTTTCCTTTATTCTCACATTGAATTTTGTGCAGAAGCCTAGTCAAAGTGATAAGGAAAGAAGGGAAGGTTGACTACATGAAAATGTAGAACAGGTGATAATAGAAGAAGGAGAAGAGGAGTGGGAGAGAGTGGATAAGATAATGGAATAGGGTCTCCTATTATAATAGAGGAGAACGTCTACCTTGAGAAGGTCAATGACAGACATAAATTATAGGGGCTCCCAAAAATGAACCCAAGCAGGAAGCCAATACTAATTAACTCTATTTAGAAGATAATTCACCCTTCACCTAACAAATCATTCAAAATACATGATTTTATGCCTTTTCAGAAAAGCATATTGACTATTTAGGAAAAAAAACACTAATCTGTTCTCTGGTGAATATGCAAATAATACCCCTACTCCTGATTATCTTAGATAGTTCTAGGGTTCCTGACTTGAGACTCTTCACTTATTAGGAATGAGAGACTTCTTAACCCATTGGTGTCTTAATGTCATGGCTAGAAAGAGAGATTTATTCTATGGATAGGTTGCAAAGATTTGCTGCTGGATTACTATAATAGCAGAAAATCAATCTGGTCATGCAAAGCTTGATTAAATTGCAAACTGGAACCTGGAATCAGTCTTTGGTGAAGATGTTCAAATGCATGGCTTCAGTAAGTGCTTTTTTTTTTTTAACATCTTTATTGGGGTACAATTGCTTTACAATGGTGTGTTAGTTTCTGCTTTATAACAACGTGAATCAGTTATACATATACATATGTTCCCATATCTCTTCCCTCTTGCGTCTCCCTCCCTCCCACCCTCCCTATCCCACCCCTCCAGGCTGTCACAAAGCACCGAGCCAATATCCCTGTGCCATGCGGCTGCTTCCCACTAGCTATCTACCTTACTATGTTTGTTAGTGTGTATATGTCCATGACTCTCTCTCGCCCTGTCACAGCTCACCCTTCCCCCTCCCCATAACCTCAAGTCCGTTCTCTAGGAGGTCTGCGTCTTTATTCCTGCCTTACCCCTAGGTTCTTCATGACATTTTTATTTTTCTTAAATTCCATATATATGTGTTAGCATACGGTATTTGTCTTTTTCTTTCTGACTTACTTCACTCTGTATGACAGACTCTAGGTCTATCCACCTCATGACAAATAGCTCAATTTCGTTTCTTTTTATGGCTGAGTAATATTCCATTGTATATATGTGCCACATCTTCTTTATCCATTCATCCGATGACGGGCACTTAGGTTGTTTCCATCTCCGGGCTATTGTAAATAGAGCTGCAATGAACATTTT